CCTAAAAAGATGGATAGACATCCAAGAATCATGGCTGAAGTACCAAAATATTCCCTCTGGAGACATCGTTCTAAAAGCTGCCTTATTTCTCTACTTTCTTGATCAAATCTCTCTCTCAATTTTATAGCTGCTACTTTGGAGACATGCTGGTTAAAGGGTAAGTTCTGGAGATCTAATGTACAGCATAATACTGTAGCATATACTAGAAATTTTCTAAGAGGGTAGATTTTAAACTTTCTCACCACACACACACATACACACACACACAGAGTAACTACCTAAGCTATGAATGTGTTAATTAACCTGATTGTGATAATCATTTTACAATGGATATGTATATCAAATCATCATGTTGTTAGTTTTAAGTATATATAGTTTTGTCAATTATGCCTCAGTGAAGCTGGAAACAAAAAAATAACAGCTACTACCTTGAGGCTATCAAAAGAATAAGTGCTATCCTTATCTGAAATAAAGGAGTAATCTGTTCTTGCCTAAGGTCTGAGTCATTTTTTTCAAAACTTACTGGAGCTTCCTTGCTCAAAGCCTTTTAAATCACATCCCTTTCTCTTTGGAATGTAGAAGTATTGTGTTTTCAAATCCTGCAAGTCCCCAGAAAGTTAGATTCTCTCTATTCCCTTTCATTTCTGTTTGTAAATTGGTTAATTGTCTTCTATGCTAATCTTTTTCTGGTAATACCCTTCTAATCACATCAAGAAATCACCAACATCCATCATTAATACTGCTTTCTGAGCTCTTTCTTTAGAGCTACAAATGATGTACTTGTTCTGATCTGCTTTCTGACATATTGTAGGCAACAGTTTCACCACTGCTTGATATGAATCTACAGTTATTCAGCATACTACGTTTCATTATTTCCTACATGACTGCTCTGCTAAACTAATGCCACATATTTTAGATTTTTGTTACAGTAGGTCACCATTTCTATTATTAATCAGGGTAGGTGATTGTTACTAGTGTAACCAACAAGTCTAAAATCCTAGTGTCTTAACCCAATAAAGATGTATGTTTTGCTGTAAACAGTACAATGAGGATTGATGAAGTGAATGTGCTCTGTGCCATTATTAAGAGACCCAGGGTCCTTCCATTTAATATTACTGGCATTCCTTAGTTCCTCAGAGTTTCCCGTATATGGCTGACCGATGTATGAAAAACAAAAAGAAACTACAAATCACTGGAGGTTTTAAGGGTCAGGTTTAGATTAGGCAATCACTGCTTTGGTTTATATTCCACTGGCCAGAAACAGTCACACAGCCTGAAGTAGAAGTAATGGAGCTAGGAAATGTGAATTTCCTGGATACACAGAGGAAAACAAGATGGTAAATATTTATCCTTGTCCCTACCGTTAGGATGCTTTCAGTTGCAGATAACAGAAAACCAAACTAATAGTGGTTTTGTCAGGTAGGAAAGCCCATTTCTCCACTCTCTTATATTGAGTTTTGGAGGGGCCTGCAGGTTAAACTGGGCTTCCCAGGTGGCTCTGCTGCTGCTGCTAAGTCGCTTCAGTCGTGTCCGACTCTGTGCGACCTCATAGACGGCAGCCCACCAGGCTCCCCCATCCCTGAGATTCTCCAGGCAAGAGCACTGGAGTGGGTTGCCATTTCCTTCCCCAATGCAGGAAAGTGAAAAGTCAAAGTGAAGTCGCTCAGTTGTGTCCCACTCTTTGCGACCCCATGGATTGTAGCCTACCAGGCTCCTCCGTCCATGGGATTTGCCAGGCAAGAGTATTGGAGTGGGGTGCCATTGCCTTCTCAGCCCAGGTGGCTCAGTGGTAAAGAATTTGCCTGCCAATGCAGAAGCCGAAGGAGACACAGGTTCGATCCTTGGGTTGGGAAGATCCTCTGGAGGAGGAAATGGCAACCCTACGCCAGTGTTTTTGCCTGAAAAATTTCATGGACAGAGGAGCCTGGCAGGCTACATTCCATGGGGTCACAAAGACTTGGACATGACTGAACAACTGCGCACTCTTGCACACAAATTAAACTGACAAAAGACAGGTGAGCAAGAGAAAAGATTTTAAACACATACCACTTACGGGAGTTCACAAAGAGATGTGACTTAAAGGGGTAGCTAAAATTTGGGGCTTATATACTATTTTAATAGACAAAGGAGAGGTGGGGAAAGGCACTTATATGAAAACAACTTCTTAGAAGGGGGTTGGGGGAGAGAAGGCATTTATGGGAAAACAAATGACTTTTAGGAAGGATAAACGGGTTCTTAATAGATAGAAGATATGATGGTTTTGTAACAATGTCTGTTTAGGTGTGGTGAGATTTCTCATAGTCTCCAGTGATGACTCACTCTTCCCTAGTTGCTTCCTGGGAGGAGATACGTGACAATTGACTTCTTTTGGGAGGTTCTGCTTTCAGGTAGATAAGGGATTTCAGGAACTTAAACACCTTTAACTAAAAATTTTTATGCCACAGTGGCTTATTTTGGACCCCTTTAGCTTAAACAGAAAAGGGAATTCATTGGCTCATATAACAGAGAAGTCTAGCAGTAGAATGGGATTCAGGTTGGGTTTGATTTTGGAGGTTTATGATGCTCTCAGGGATTGACTTCTTTTTTCTATGATATATTTGCCCAGCCATTCCTCCTCCACATGTTAGCTTTACTCTCAGTTGGCTCTCAATAGCACATACATGAGAAAGGTTGTACCTCTTCTGGTATTCACACTCTAATGCCCCATCATCCAGAGAAAGAAAGATTTTCTCTTTTGTTTACAATCAAATGAAAGTCCTGGTCTTCACTCTGATTGATTTATGAAACAGTAACTGGTTCAAGGGAGGGTAGGGTATTCTGATCATTTTAAGTTAGAGGCAGTATTCTTGGAGTTGGGCTGGTGATTATTCTGCCCAAATTTGGGTGAACACAATGGAGTTGTGGAAGAGGTGGGAAATCACTTATACCCATTACAGTTAGGGAAGAGTGGCATATGATCTCACTTAAGGAGAATGAGTACTATGAGGATACTTAGCATGTACAGAATGTAAAGGGTCAGAAAATACAAGTCAGAGGAAGCACTTCAAAATGATGGGAAGGTGTGAACAGTGTCAAGAGAGCCAAGACAGTTGTGTCTAGATCTGAGCCTGGAGTTTTGCGGATGAATAGTGAAATAAATCATCCAGTTTGTTGATTTCATACTCTCACCAGACAACGTTTAAAATGTGGCTTCTCATGGAAATGTTCCTTTTGAGTAAAAATGTGTACAGTTTTCTGGTTTTCACTGCAGCTATGTTTTTCACGGGAGGCGGGGGAGGAATAAATAGGATTTTTTGTTTATAAATCAGTCTTTAGTAAGTTTAGTTGGCATAAATCATTCCACTGGATTTAAATTAGCTCTGGAGGTGAAGAACATTAAGTTTCTGTCTCTGCAAACTGAGGACTAGACTGTAGAATAGAGAGTGAAATCTTAAGTTCACTGTCATACTGTAAAACACTCTTTGCTAACCATTAGGAACTATATTTGAAACACTTGAAATATGAGTTAAGAATGCCCCAAGATTTTTGAACTTTCAGCTTTCCACGTTTGTCATTTTGCTTATTCTGTCTTTTCAGAATAAAAAAAGCTTCTTTTCAGGTCCTACAAGAAAGGGAAGCTGGGTAGACTGTCCCTGGCCCAGCTGGGAGATGAGTCGTCATAGTTGTCTGTAGCTATTCCAGGTTTCGAGGGCTAATTCAAGTGGTTTTGGGGGAACACTGACCTCGGAGTGGTAATCAATAAGGAAAAAACTGTAACGATAAACGCTAGAGAAAAGCTGGGGACAGTCTGGTTGAAAAAGAAGAAACTGATTCAAATATGCAGGAAGAATTAGTATGATCCAGTGGCTGAATGGTGAGTGCAGTGATTGGTGTATATTAAGGATCTAACAAGTAAAGATTTCTAATTCAGATCACTCCTGAGAGCTAGATCACTATTGTCATCGATCTTGTGAAGACAACTAGGAGGAAACTTTCCTTACAGATCAGAGTACAATGTTTTGCAAGTATTTGTGCAAGCAGTATCTTAGCAGGTGTTCTTGTAAATGCACGTATCTTTTGTATTTGTTTTCGTTTTTTAAGTTATTACAAGCACCCATGGAAGCTGGGAATTGAAAGAGACGAAAGCAAGAATCGCGTGTTTGAAACAAATTTGGCAAAATTAACCAATTACTAAAAGAACCTTCTCTACTTCTTTTTCTCATCTTGTGTGTCGTCTTGGCTCAGGCACAGTACTTCTTTTTAATGGCGCCTCTCTTCTTAGACCTTCTTACTTTCCAAGCTTACGGAAAACTAGCTGTAACACACAGGGAGGTCCTGGAACTCGCGTTTCCACGTCTTCAGATTCGATGCGGCCCCAACTTCGGGATTGCTGGCCAGCGAGTAGATGGCACCCACAACCGCTCCGACCTCGACCCAGTCCCTGGCAAACGGCAGCGGCTCGCGCGTGGAGAGCCACGGGATCCTTCGAGGGCCCGCGACGCGGCGCACATGCCCGCGCCCGCCTCCCGCGTCGGCGAGAAGAAAGGGAGTCCGGACGCGCAGAGGCTGACCCGGAGCCTACCCATGAGGCAGCGCGCTGACTCCACGAGAGCCCCCCCTGCCCACGGCTCGGCCGCCTGCTCCGCAATGGGAGCCGCCGCCGTCGCCGCCGTGTAGTTTTTCGTGCTCCTCCTTTTCCTCCTCCTCTTTCTCCTCCTCCTCAGGGCCCCAGTCAGGCCGATCCGCTCCGCTCACGGTAAGCGCCCCCCGCCCCCGCCCGCCCACGCCCGCCCCGCGTTGCAGCAGGCAGAGGCCCTCCCGTGCGGCCTGCGCCGCCTCACTCCGGGGGCGCTGGGCTGGGGGTGTCGAGGCCGGCGCGGGTCGCCGAGAGCGCCCAGGGCGCGGGGGAGGGGACCGGCTGCGCGACGACGGCCGGACCGCCATCTTGCGCCGGCCCCGGCGGGGGAGGGACACCCGCGCGACGCGGCAACCGACTCCGGGTGGCAGGCCGGGGCCGCGCAGGCCGCCGTTGTCGCCTTCCCGCCCCGCCTCGCCCCCCAGGGCTTGTTTGCCCCTGGCTTGGTTTGGGCTTTTCTCTCCGGAGGCTCCTCCCTTGGCCTTCCGTATATTTTGTGCTGCTGTTTGCCAGGAACCCCGTGCGCCTCTCGCTTCGGCTCTCCTCCGAGTCTCGTCAATCGTAGGCAGAGAGACCAGAGGGGCTGCCAAACCTTGAGGCCTCGGGGGCCGTAGGGCCCAGGTTCCCCCGCCCAGGTGACCAGTCATTCCCCGCTCACATCCGCCTTCTTGTCAGAGGGCTTCCCCGCTCTGCCCTAGACGTCCCGTTATTGTCTACAGGAGAGGGGCACTGAGGAGAAACGTGGACTTGATACACAATTTCCTAACGGAGCTTGCAGGTTCCACTTCTGAGACGGAAAGAATGATCTCATTCTGAGGTTTTATCCTGCTCTAGAGATGGAGGGAGTTCGGAATTCCCGACTTATTTCAAGTGTTAACGCTTTTATGGAACGGTTGACTAGAGAGGAGAAACGTCAAAGCGAACCGCTTCTGCAAGCACGAGAGACCTTCGTCCGGGGGGTTCTCTTTGTTTACCAAGAGTTGTTAGTTTAAAAAAAAAAAAATCGGTGAACCTAAACCTGATATTTATTGTTTTCAGTTTGTAACTGTGCATTAAGAATTTGACGTCTTTTAGCGGCATTAAACCATTAACAAATTGAAACAGAAGACCGATTGAAAGCACAAAAGCCACCTCTCTACAGTTGTGAGGTGTCCTGCTTTGGGGGATTGGTTTTCCTATTCAGGCTGTCTTTAAGCAGAAACTGACTGTAACTGTGACCAAGGCACTGATGTGCTTAGACAATGAAATTGGGGCTTTGTGCTCTCGATGTTTTAAAATATCAGTACAAATACCAGTATAATTGTCTCCTGCATTTGCATGGATCTTTGCTCCCTTCCGATATGTATCTCCTAACCCCTTCTACGGTGATCTGTGATGCTGGAACTGATTTTTCAGGTGAGGAAGGAGAACTCAGGGTGAGAGGTCTTGAATGAAGTCATGGCTAGGAAGCGATAGAGCCATTTCTTGAATCTTAGGTCTTCTTATTCCTCATTGAGTGTGCAATTAATTTTAATTTTTTTTGTGAGAATGAGGTGAGTGGGGAAAAGAGCATAGGCTCACCTGCAAAATTTAAGAAAGAATATTCAGTTGCCCTTTCCTTTGCATTTTTAAGAGTTCATTTCTTAGCTTTATCACTTTTTAAGTTTTCATGTTACTCTTTCCCTCGACCCCACCATTGAAGAGTTGATTGAGTAGCCCGGTTGAGTCCTCATACCTATTACCTAGTTTTTACAGTTGTTACTATTTTGCCATATTTGCTTTATCTACTTATCTCAGGGTTATTTTTGGTGAACATTTTCAAAGCGTATTTCATACATCATGGCAGTTCACACTTAAGTACTGTATGTGTGTCAGTATGTATAGACAATATCATAATCACACTTAAAGTTAAGAATAACCCCTCCATAATCCCTGATAGTATTCTTGTCTAGAGAATCCCGTGGGCAGAGGAGCCTGGTGGGCTGCTCTCCATAGGGTTGCACAGGGTTGAACACGACGGAAGCGGCTGAGGATGCATGCATGCATTGGAGAAGGAAGTGGCAACCCACTCCAGTATTCTTGCTTGGAGAATCCCAGGGACAGGGGAGCCTGGTGGGCTGCCATCTATGGGGTTGCACAGAGTTGGACACGACTGAAGTGACTTAGCTTCAGCAGCAGCAATCCCTGATAATCTAATGTGTGTATGTAATATATATTCTCATGTTCTTCACATGTTCCCTGTTGTCCTCAAAATGTTCTTTTTAGTAATTTATTTTGGAACCAATATCCAATCATGCATTCCATTTGTGTTTCTTTTAATTTAGTGTAATTCCCCCCCCCCTTTTTTTAATGACATTGACATTTTGAAGAGACCAGGCCAGAGACCAGGCCATAGGCGTGTAGAATAACATACATTCTGTATTTTACTAACAGTTTCTTCCTCATGGGTTTTAATTGTATCCTGTATTCCATGGGTTTTAATTGTATCCTGTATTCCCTGTATTTTCTATAAACTTGAAGTTAGGTCTAAAGGCTTGAGTAGATCAGGCTACATAATTTTGGCAAAAATACTTCACAAGTCACGCAGTGTGCTGCACATTATACAACATCAGAAGGCACATAAAGTGGAGTTATCCTGTTGGTAATCCTAAATTTGATCTCTTGGGTAAGGTGGTGACAGACTATCTTTCCATTGTAAGCATTTCCCTTTGCAATTAGCAGATAATCTGTGGGCTGATATTTTGGCATTAGTATTTGGTGTGAATTTAACTGCAGTGATCTGATAACACAGTAGGGAGCAATCCTCTAGAAATGGATGTTTGAGAATGAAGGAGGGGAGCAGTTTTAAAGGATGGAACTGACTTATCTAGTTTAGGGATCTTGGAATTGCTGCTCCAGTTGGCGCCAGAGCCTACAGTGGATAGGGAAGAGGAGACAGAAAGTAGATATTAGACTTTGCTCAAGACCCTCATAGCAGTAGTGAGCTTTGAGAAATAGAAAGTTCCTGTGTTGGAAGACTGCAAACCACAGCTTTCCCAGTTAAACTCATTCTCAGTTAGGCTGTCTGGTCCAGTCCTGCTTCTTAATCCAGTGTTTTACTACTCAGCATTGGCTTTCTTAGTAGGAGCGAGGAGGTAAAAAAAAATAAGTAAATTATTTTGTGCCCTTCTTTACCACACTGTTCTTTTTTTATTTAGAACTATACCAAGATTTCTTTTTCTATAGTAATTTCTATAGTAATTTCTTTTTCTATAGTAATAGTAGGGCAGGGGCTGTACCTACATGGAATAGCAATTTTTTTTAAGTAGAAAGTAAATGATATTTTTAGATGACAGGAAATTGGAGATTGTTGACAAAATGTTTTGTTATTTCAGAAATAACTTTTGAATGATGAGAAATAGTTATGACATACTAATTAAATATATAGTCCTGAATAGTTTATTTTTCCTGCTTTAGGATACTCAGAAATACTTGATTTTTCAGTTAAATTGTTTTAAAGGTATATGTAATGACTTGATTTACTTGGTAACTTGTATCAAAAATGTGTGCTTGAAATTTTTATTGATTTTTGCAAAGTAGTTGTTTTAAGGATTATTTTAATTCTCATTATACCAGGAAAAACTATTATCAATCTTTATTTTCTAGCTCAAAAGGAATTATTTTTTAAACATTTTAAGCTATTTTATATAATTTTATATCATCATGTAATTTATATAATTTACAGAAGGATAGAGGGGTAATGTGGGCTTCCCTGGTGACTCAGTGGTAAAGAACCTGCCAGCCAGTGCAGAAGATGCAGGTTCAGTCCCTGGGTTGGGAAGATCCCCTAGAGAAGGAAATGACAACCCACTTTAGTATTCTTGCTTAGGAAATCCAATGGATGGAGGAGCCTGGTGGGCTACAGTCCATGGGGTTGCAAAAAGTTGGACATGACTGAGTGACTAAACAACAACAAAGGAGTAATGTAAAACAACTTATTTGAACTTTTAATAAGAATTTCAACATAACATTTCTTTGTGTGTACTTAGAAATAAGAAATAAAAAATACACTTCATGCATCTAATTAAATACTACCCCTACAATTAATATGCATCACATTTGAGTTCTCTTGACAAATACTGTATTTGTAACATTTTTTTTTTTTTTCAGTTTTTTTGTCGCACAAAGAGTATCTTCTCTTATTCTTCCCACTTAGACCTTACAATATTTTGGTTAGAGGGTGAGATAGAATTCTCGTAAGAGTTCCCATAAGTGCTTTTCCTAGTTGCATGAGGAATATTCTTGGTAACTTATGGTTTTGTAATTGAAGCTTTCTTCATATAATGATAGTAATATTAGTCATCGGCCATCATCTTCAAGTCATTTTTTAAGTATAGTTGACCCTTGAACAACATGAGTTTGAACTTCAGGTCCACATGGATTTTCTTTTTCAGTAAAAATGCTGCAGTATTATATGATCAGCAGTTGGGTTGAATCCAAGTATTTGGAATCATGCATACAGAGGTGTCAACTATTACACACTGATTTTCAAGTGAGCAGGGCCTAAACCCTGTGTTGTTCAGCTCATGGATAGGTCCTGACTTTCTTAATCAGTATCTATCCCTCCTTTAGTCTTTTTGTATAATATAACTTTCTCCAGGTTAACTTATACAAGGTTTTAAAAAATTCATTGATATTTGAGAATACATTGAGCTGAGAAGAGTTCTAGTTTTTTTTTTTTAATTTTAAAATTATTTTATATATTTAAAGTTTTTGGTTGTGTAGTGTGTGGGCTTTCTCTGGTTGTGACATCTGGGATCTTAGTCCCCCACCCAGGGATTGATCCCACGTCCCCCGAGTTAGAAGGTGGATTCTTAACCATGGGACCACCAGGGAAGTCCTGAGAGTACTAATTTTTCTTAGGGCAGTAAGAATCATTAAATATGTTTGAAAACCAGATTATGTTCAATTAACTTCTCTTGCTTTTCCTTTGTGAAATTTCACAGAAGTTCAACCTTGTTATTTCTGATACTGCCAACTAAGGAAAGTTTCTTGCTAGATAATACTAAGCCAATTCTAAAGTTACAAAAATTTGTCACAAGTTGTATTTCTGACAGAATTTTCAGATTCTTTTGTTAGTTCTTGTGCTGCTCTTGGTTCTGCTCTCATCCCTTTTCTGAATCACTCTATGCATTTTTCAAGCGTGCAGTGTTACACTGTTGTATGTTGCTTAGAGTTTTAGTCTGTTTTCCAGGTTTGAAGTTTACTTAAAATAGGAAACATTGTCTGCATATGACTAATTCTTCAACTGTCATACATGAATCTGGAACATAGTGATTTGAGATTTCAAATATTCCTTAGTAGGTTTGTTCTTATCATTCCTTCTGGGTCTTCTTTTTGCAGTGTGCATCCTTGAATGCAATACTTCAAGAATTTTTTGAAAACTTGTATGGTTTAAAATTTTGCTGAAGGGAAGATGGCCATCTTTACTTCCTAATTGCAAGGTATTTCCAGTTTTAGATTTGTAGACACCAATTAGAATAATCCAGTGAATTAAAAAATTCTCTGCATTGTCTCTTTCTAGTCACCATTGTATACATATGCATTTAATACTTCTCCACTTAAGAACTGTATCAAGTTAAATTTTAGCCCACAGACATGAAGGATGAAAGAATACTGTCACATGTCCTTTTGCATTCTTATAAAAATTTTGCATGATGAAGCCTTTCCTGCTGAATGAGAATACTATATTTCCTTTTAGTTTTTAAAAATATATTGTTTACTCATTTTTGAGTTTGAGAAAATCTGTCTAGGGACTTAGTCTAATCTAGACTTAGCCTGAGAGTTCCCAAATTTCACTGTCATTGTTACAGTCTGAAGTGCTTCTTTAGGTTCATCTAATAATTTTGAAATGTCTCCTCTGTCAGTTTTTTTCTGTTCCATTATGTACAGAAAATTAAAAGTTCTGAGTTCTTTATTTATTGGCTATGCTGGACCATTGTTGCTTCAAGGGCTTTTTCTCTAGTTTCACTGAGTGGGGGCCAGTCTCCGGTTGTGGTGTGTGGTCTTCTCATTGCAGTGGCTTCTCTTGTTGCTGAACCTGGGTTACATGGGCTTCAGTAGTTGAGGTTTCCAGGCTCTCGAGCCAGGTTCAGTAGTTGTGGCACATGGACTTTGTTGCTCAGTGGCATGTGGGATCTTTCTGGACCAAGGATCCAACCCATGGCTTCTACATTGGCAAGTGGATTCTTTACCTCTGAGCTACCAGTGAAGCCCCGAGTTCTGAGTTCTTAACCATAGTCAATGAAAACTAGAAACTGATGAAAGGATCTGCCCCCTAAAATACGCCACTTTGACATAAGGATTATCTTGAGTGGAAGGTAATTGAAAATCAACAAATGTGGAATTGCAGTAAGAGTTGCCACCAACCCCCTCCCCCTGCCCCCCACATCAACTGCCTAAAAGCCGGGCATACATTTCTTTTTTGAAGGTTTTCCTATCACCCTGCCGGAAAGGGAAGAGTGACTGTTACTATTTAAGATGGAGAGTTGATACTGAGATGAGTTTGCATAAACAGACTCAACTAAAATAACCCTCACCTTCCATTAGTTTCACCAGGAGTTGCTAATCTCCCTCCCACACATAAGTTATTGTCTCTTAAAGCCGCAATTCCCTTTCCTTTGTTTAAATGAGGTATATACTCTGAATCTAACTGCTTCGTTGAGTTTACTTCTTTTCTGTGAACTCTAATATATGTAAATATTAATAAAAATTAATGTGTTTTTTCTCCTGTTGACTTGTCTTTTGTTAATTTAATTCACAGGCCACAGATACTGCATCCTAAAAGGGTAGAAGTAAAGTCTTTCCTTTTTGACACAGATTACAAAGATAATGCCTCCAGTCTTCTATACCTTTTTGGAAGCTGATGCAGTATTTTGTGCCAAACAATAGGAAAACTCAAAAGAAGAGGAGAAAGGCAAAACATAATGTATTAGTAGTGATTTATTTCACTTTTGCATTTTCCTTCTAGGCAGTTAAATCATTCTTCTGTTTTCTTATTTTAGTTTTTTCTTTTTAAAAAAGCATAGTTGGGAAAAATTGATGCTCAGTAGTGAAATAACATCTAGGATAAAGGAATTAGCAAAATATTTTAAGGTGCAGGAAAAATAATACCACTCAGATTCCATAATGTATCTTAGATTTATAAAAGTATTCTATGGGCTCACATAGTAATTATAAGATAGAATGAGTTTTATTCTATTTTAAAGTAATAAGTAAAATTTCCCTTTGTTGTTTGAAGATCTCTCGGAAACAATGGAATTCATAAAATGCCAATTTTTAAAACTAGAACTGCTAAAGAAAGAAAATTAAAACTGAAACTGTTCCTATGGACTCTGATAGTATGCCGAAGGTTGATGGTTAATTTGGACGGTAAGATACAGAGTTCCACTGCCTTCCAACTCACACGTGAAACCTGCTTGCCTCCTACTACCATTATAATGGTTTTCCACTTTGCAGTCCATTGCTAATGGAGTAAGGGTTCTACAAGGCCTTCCCTTTACCCTGTAACTATTAATATTAACATCCTATGAAGCTGGATTTCCCTCACTTCAGCAGAACAAGGTAGTATAACAGATTGAATACAGAAGCAGATAAGGGAATCTAGCTCCCTCTGAACACAGGTATTAAAATTAATAAGATTTGCAAAAATGGAAAACAGTGCCATCCTCTAAATTTTTGTTTTGGAAAATACAGCTATTTTTCATAAAAGTATTTGTGTTAATATGCAGTGGGTTTGTTATAGTCACTTTTAAGTAAATTAATATATATTGCTTAATTTTCTCAGGTTGAATTTATAGGTTTCATCCTTAGCAAATCAACTACACTGTTGGGGTTTTTTTGGCCAGATTTGATTTCTTCAGCATGATATAAATGTCTTTTTGTTGAGGGATGTTAGCCAATGCAAATATTGTTAGTCTATAACATAATTTGCTCCTTGTTTCTAAGGCTTTATCCTGTATTCCTTATTTTGTAGGTATTTGTTCTTAACCTTTGGCAAGTTTGAGAAGCAAAACCTGGAGGGTTTGGGAGCAGTCTGGAAGTTTTAGATATATCCTAATCCCTATCTCTTTTGTTAACTCACTCATTTTGCTTTTCCTGTTTAGGGTTTAAGATTATCTGACTTTCAACTTTTGGATTGCTGACTGCTGATAGAAAGGTCCTTATGGAAAAACGTGCAACATGGAAGTGGCTTTGTTAAATTCCATGAGGAAAAATAAATAATCTCCCAACTTTATTGAATAGAAAAAGGTAAATAAGAAAATTGACACTACATTGTTAGTATTCATGTTCTTTAGAGAGGAAGATATCTTTCTAATCTTTCATTTCTTTATTTAAAATTTTTTAAATTCTAAAAGTATAATCATTTATAGGAGACTTGAAAAATACAGAATATAGTTCCACTGTACTTTACAATTTTTTTAAAATAGATAAAGTAAGATTTTTAGTTGGAGTTTCAATACCAAACTCTCAAAAATTAATAGAATAAATATATACAAAAGTAGAATAGAGTAGACCTGAAAAGCACCATGAACCAGTTCAACATAATTAAGATTTATACAATTTTCACACAATAGTAGGATACAAATTCTGTTCAAGTTCCCATAGACTCTAAACTGGGAGACACTAGAACATATCCAAGGACATAAAATAAGGTGCAAGGTTCATTTCATTTTTTTTTAATGTAGTGTTTTGTTGATTATAATGTGTTTCATGATTATATTTCATCCTCAAATGCTGTTTGGAGATGAGTGGTATTATTATCACCTGTCCTTTATAGATGAGAAAATGGAGTCTTAGAAAAAGTTCATTTCCGTCATTGTAATAATTACTGGGTACCAGACAGTGCATGTTTTTTGTAAGATATGATGCTTTGGTCTTCCCTCACTTCAGCCTCAGCCTTTCTAGTTCAGAATTATGTGTTCTCTTCTCCTTGGGTTAGACAGTGCAAGCCAAGCTGCACGACTTCTAGTGGCAGTGCCAGCTCCTAGAGCATTTGGCTTATTCTGTGCTTCACTGCATTCTGGAAGCCTCTGGCACTGGGATAACCCAGCTCTGCCTGTATTGGTGGAGTTATTGAGTTTGGAATTGATAAGTGACACAATAAAAGCATTATTTCAGGGAATTGATAATTTGATGATTTTGTATCAAATGGATGAAAGCAGATCTGGATGCTGAGAGACAATATAAAGTGAATCTTCTAAATCTGTTGATATAGGTGTGCAGTTCTTAGGGCCTGAACAAGTACTTACAAATGGAAAGGCAAGGTTGGTTGTGGGAGATATTTTGAAGGAGACTATAGAACTGAGGAATTGATAAGATACGATGAATGAAAGAGGGAAACATTGAAAAAAGTGCAAAAGGATGACAGTTTCATTTGTTACATTGTACTTGAGAGTTTCTAGAAAATATTTAGGTATAGTAGGTAGATTACTAAAATTCTTCATTTCTAACTCCTAAGATGAACTTTAATAATTCAACTTTTTCAATTAGCGCAGTTTTTTTTTAACTGAAGTAATAATAAATTCCCCTTTTCCTTCAGTCTAGGCAAAAAATTTATGTATACTAGATGAATATGTTTACAATTTTCAAGTTGGAAGGATCCTTGGGGATCTTGAAAGTGATTGTTTTCAATTGCATAATGCTTGAATTTTTCATTTTTCTTGAGTGATCTATCACATCTCAAGTTCATCTACTTTCCTGATATTGTAACTGCTGATTATTTCGTATGTATAATCTGCCTCCCTATTACTCTGATTTTGTTCTTGGTGTAGGCAAATAGTATGTAGTTGAAATCTTCGGCCTTTGAAGTGCCTGGGTTTGAATCCTTGCTCAACCACTAAATTGTGCTTCTTTGGGCCAGGTACTTAACCTCTATAATTGGCTTTCCACAGCTGTAAAGCAAGGATAGTAATAGTGTCATAGAGGTTTTTGAGGATTAGATGAAATGAGTGTGTTTAATTAATTAGCAAATGGTAATGATAATTGTTATTACACATAATAACTTATAATTATTATAACTTATAGTAGTATATAATGAACTAGGTAGTTGTTTTTAAGCTCAAACCAGGAATGAAATTCTCTGGTTTACTTGAAAACAAGTAAATATTAGCAGTGTTATTATTGTTGTTGTTATCATCACTTGAGCCACAGGATCAAGTCTTCCTCTTGCCTTTTTTCTTATGACAGACTTTAAAGTATCTGTAAACAGCTTTCACTTTTGTACCCCTGACCCAGTCTTATGTTTTTTCTAGATTAGAAATCTTAGTTGTTTGACTGGGACAAAGCTTTAATTCTAATTCCTGCTAGTGGGCGTTTCTTGTTATTGCTACTCAACATCCATTCACTCTTAAGTCCCTTACCTTGGTAACATACCTGTTGATTTTCCCTTGGGGATCCATCCCTTCTTCCAGTAGTTACCTTGTGATTGTGTGTCTGTTACCAGGGGGATCAATAGGATTGGTTTGGGGAAGAGCATATGACTTTAGCGAAACCAGTCAACTTGAGTCAGGGCTGGTCCTCTTATCATTGTCCAAGTCTTGAATGTTGGAAGGTGTTATTTGGAGCTTCTGTTTGTTCTTGGTGATGGTGTTGTTTAGTCACTGATTTTAAATCATGTCCTATTCTTTCGCAACCCCATGTAGTTTGCCAAGCTCCTATGTCCATGGGATTTCCCAAGCAAGAATACTGGAGTGGGTTGCCATTTCCTTCTCCAGGGGATCTTCCTGACTAGGGATCAAACCCATGTCTCCTGCATTGTCAGGTGGATTCTTAACCACTGAACCTCCAGGGAGGTCCTGAGCTGCTGTAGTCATTCACAATAGAAGGACCCTTTCTGAGGATAGAATCAGAATAGAGGAAGTGAAACCTAGAGGTGGAGAGAGAACCACCAGGGTTACCTATGATTGTTTAAAATGTGCCTACACCTAATTCTGTAAAGGAGTCTATAAGTTCTCTTTTGCATAAACCAGTTTGTTGTTCAGTCGCTCAATGGTGTCTGAGTCTTTGCAACCCCATGGACTGCAGCACGCCAGGCTTCCTTGTCCCTCACCTCTCCTGGAGTTTGCTCAAACTCATATCCATTGAATCGGTGATGCCATCCAACTATCTCATCCTCTGTTGTCCCCTTCTCCTCCTGCTTTCAATCTTTCCCAGCATCAGGGTCTTTTAGGATTGACTGATTTGATTTTCTTGCTGTCTGAGGGACTCTTCTCCACCACCACAGTTCAGAGACATCAGTTCTTTGGCGCTCAGCCTTTTTTATTGTCTAGCTCTGACATCTGAACATAACTACTGGAAAAACCATAGCTTTGACTATACAGACCTTTGTAGGCAAAGTAATGTCTCTGCTTTTTAATATGCTGTTTAGGTTTGTCATTGCTCTTCTTCCAACAAGCAAGCGTCTTTTAATTTCGTGGCTGTAGTCACTGTCCGCAGTGATTTTGGAGCCCAAGAAAATAAAATCTGTCACTATTTTCATCCTTTCCCCATCTGTTTGCCATGAAGTGATGGGACTGGATGCCAGTCTCTTCATTTTTTGAATGTTGAATTTTAAGCCAGCTTTTTTACTCGTCTCTTTCACCATCATCAAGAGGCTCTTTAGTTCTTCTTCTCTTTCTGTGATAAGGGTGGTGTCATCTGCATATCTGAAGTTATTGATATTTCTCCTGGCAGTCTTGATTCCAGCTTGTGCTTCATCCAGCCCGGCATTTTGCATGATGTACTCTGAATATAAGTTAAATAAAAAAGGGGACAATATACAGCCTTGATGTACTCCTTTCCCAATTTGGAACCAATCCGTTGTTCCATGTTTGGTTCTTACTGTTGCTTCCAGACCTGCATACAGATTTCTCAGGAGGTAGGTAAGGTAGTCTGGTATTCCCATCTCTTGAAGAGTTTTCCACAGTTTGTTGTGATCCACACAGTCAAAGGCTTTAGCGTAGTCAATGAAACAGAAACAGATGTTTTTCTGGAATTCTTTAACTTTTTCTGTGATCCAGCAGATGTTGACGATTTGATCTCTGATTCCTCTCTCTTTTCTAAATCTAGCTTGAACATCTTGAAGTTCTTGGTTCACATACTGTTGAAGCCTAACTTGAAGGATTTTGAGCATTACTTTCCTAATGAGTGCAATTGTCCTGTAGTTTAAGCATTCTTTGGCATTGCCCTTCTTTGGTATTGGAATAAAAACTGACTTTTTCCAGTCCTGTGGCCATTTCTGAGTTTTCCAAGTTTGCTGGCATATTGAGTACAGCACTTGAACATCATCCTCTTTTAGGATTTGAAATAGCTCAGCTGTAATTCCATCACCGCCACTAGCTTTGTTTGTAGTGATGCTTCCTAAGGCCTACTTGACTTCACACTCCGATATGTTTGGCTCAAGATGAAGGATCACACCATGGTGGTTATCTGGGTCATGGAGATCTTTTTTGCATAGTGTAGTGTATTCGTTCCACCTCTTCTTAATATCTTCTGCTTCTTTTACGTCTCTACTGTTTCTGTCCTTTATTGAGCCCATCTTTGCATGAAATGTTCCCTTGGTATCTCTGATTTTCTTGAAGAGATCTCTAGTCTTTCCCATTCTATTGTTTTCCTCTATCTCTTTGCACTGATCACTTAGAAAGGGTTTCTTATCTGTCCTTGCTGTTGTCTGGAACTCTGGATTCAGATGGATAGATCTTTCCTTTTCTCCTTTGCCTTTCACTTCTCTTCTTTTCAGCTATTTGTAAGACCTCCTCAGACAGTCATTTTGCCTTTTTGTATTTCTTTTTCTTGGGGATGGTTTTGATCACTGCCTCCTGTACTATGTTACGAACCTCTGTCCCTAGTTCTTTAAGCACTCTGTCTATGAAATCTAAACCCTTAAATCTATTTGTCGCTTCTACTATATAATTGTAAGGATTTGATTTAGGTCATCCCTGAGTGGTCTAGGGGTTTTCCCTACTTTCTTCAATTTAAGTCTGAATTTTGGAATAAGGAATTCATGATCTGAGCCACAGTCAACTCCACGTCTTTGTTTTTCTTACTGTATAGAATTTCTCCATCTTCGTCAACAAAGAATATAATCAGTCTGATTTCAGTATTGACCATCTGTTATGTTTATGGTTATGTCTCTGTGTAGAGTTGTCTCTTGCGTTATTGGAAGAAGGTCTTTGCTATGACCAGTGCGTTTTCTTGGCACAACTCTGATAGCCTTTGTCCTGCTTCATTTTATACCCCAAGGCCAAGCTTGCCTGTTACTCCAGTTATCT